CTATCTGTGAGATTACTAATAAAATAGACGTTTGGACAAGTTAAAAGATATTTGGATAAGTACATGAATAGAAAAGGTTTGGAGGATTATAGGCCAAATGCAGGCAGGTGGGACTAGTTTGGTTCAGGAACACGGTCACGTGAACTAGTTAGATCGAAGGGTCTGTTTCCATGCTGTATGACTCTATGACTCTATAATAATAACTCCTGTATGAAATTATGATATTGAAAATAGCATTCACACATGCAGGAGAAATTCTTCTACGTCTCTATTCTACAGAATGGAAAATAATGTGTGCAGTTTACCTGAGCTGCAAATATAATACAAGATATTTACACATCTTCCACCCAAATATGAATTTACTGTCACTGTGTACATATGGTGCAAATTGCGGAACATGTTAATGAGGGCTAAGGCAGTCAGTGAATCAATGTTATCATCCTCACAGTGTTTTTCTGTCATATAATTAGTTTAACATTCATGGTGGGATCACTATTTGGTCTCCCACATTCTAAACTCCATAACTGTGGTTATACAAAACTCTGCTGCTCATGACTTAAATACCAATTCATCTCGATGCACACAGATTATTGGCTCCTGGTGAAGCAATGTCTTGATTTTAAAATTCTTATCTTTGCTTTCAAATCCCTCCATGGTCTTGTTACTCCCTATAATGCTCACTAACAGCACTGTGGGTATATTACACTGCACCTACTGCAGCAGTTCAAGAAGGTCACTCATAATTACCTTCTCTGGAACAATTAGAGAAGTATGTGCTGGCCTGTACAGCGATGCTCACATCCCATGAAAGAATATCCTCTTCAAGCCCTACAACTCTCTGCGACATCTCTCTGTGATCCTCCTCTACTAACCTCTTAAGCATCAAGACTTCACTGGTGGCCTTGCCCGCTGCTCCTTTGGTCCCACGCTTTGGAATTCCATCCCTGTACCTCTCTGCCTCTCTATCTTGTTTTCCTCTCTCAGGCTCAAATACAAAAGAAGGTGAAAAGCTGTTGTTGATGCATCTAGTCATCTTGCATCAACCTGGAAAAATCAACAAAAAAAAATACCATCTGGAGAACATCAAGATTAGCTGCTGGCGTTGAATAGAAGAAAATTGATACAGCACAGAAGGAGTCCATTCAACCCTTCATGTGTGCTGACTCTCTTTAAGAGCAATTTACCTCACGCCATTCCTCTATCTTCTGCAAATGTTTGCATCTTCAGGTATTGATTCAATTCTTTCTCGAAAGCCATGGGCAAATTTGCCTCCACCTCACTTTCTCAAGAACATTCTCCCAGACAGTGTTGTCAGATGTAACATTGTCACTTGTTTTGCACAATTTCAATTGCTGAACGTGAAACATGGAGCATACACTCGTCATGGGATGGTTTTGAGCTTCCTGCGAACACTAGGGTCAAGTATGTAATGTATTCACCCTATTCCTTTGAACTGCACATTTGTCAGTGACATGAAAAAATCTCAGTGACAAGATGCTCTAAAAGGGTTAACTTTGATTGCCAGTCAACAGGAGACAGAATATGTGTCATCATGCCAGAAATTTTCGTCCCTGTCTTGTGCATTTGATTTTTATTTTAGACCAATAGTTTGAAGTGCCCATTACATATTCAGATGCAAGAGAGTGGCTGTAAAGTCAAATATACAAAATTTGATCGATGACTCAAACAAAAATATTCACAAATTATGTTTAATCGTTTATATTGTAAGTCAGAACTTTCGAAAGTGCAATAAAAAGTATAAATGTCAACTCAGTATTTCCAATCCCTGTCATATTGCAGCATATAAACCTTCCAATATTATGTCAATCTTTTGAGATTGTATTTAAATTCAAAACCATTGATCAACAGCAAATATCCCTGTGACAAAAAGAACAGCACTAACAACTGACTTTTAATACAGTGCCCTGAACATCCCAAAGTACTACAGAGGTACATTATCAAACAATTTAATGCCAAGATTCTTAAGATGAAATTTGGGAAAAGTGATTAAAAAGTTGAGCTTTGAGTTTTGAATAAAGGACAATAAAAGAGACGTAGAAATTTAGCTTTGGAATTTCAGAGCTTGGGACTTTCAGAACTGAAGGCACAGTCACCAAAGGTGGAACATTTAATATTAAAAATGTTTGAAGGGTCAGAATTGGAAGAGGGTAGATATTCCAGTGGATTGTAGACTGGAAGAACATTATAGAAATAGGGAGTGGAGCCACAGAGGAATTTAAGAACCAGGGTGAATGCTTTAAGATCTAGACAGTGCTCAACTGAATAAATGGGACTCGTTATGAGGAAGAAAACAGAGTTTTAAAGAACCCCCAGTCCACAGAGGGGTGGTTGTGATAGATCAGACAAAGATTTGTTAGAATAATCACGACTACATTTAACAAGTGGATGAAACTTTCAGCCTTACTTGAGCTGAAGGCGGACAGAGATGGGTGAAGGTCTACAGATGGAAACTGGCAGTCTTATGAGAAATTGACAGGTGATGTGATTTATTCATTGCAGAGTCAAAGACACCAAGATTGCAAACGATCTTGTTTAGTGCCAGACAGTTGCCAGAGCGAGGGATCAAATTGATGAATAGGAAACAGAAATTGTGACAGCGTCAAAGCCACTAGCTCCAGTTTTCTATATATTCACTTGGAGGAAGTCTATCCTGCAACAGATGTTGAGTAAGCAGAGTGACAATTTAGGGACAGTCAGGGAGTTGAAAGAGTTAAGCTGTAAGCTGAAGTCCTAGTTACAGGCCAGTGAGAAGGCGCTCTGATCTTCTTCCCTTTTGAAAATCTGAAAGTCAAGGGAACACGTAGGGTTTATACTCCTTCAGTTCTTCAGTGGTAAATTCCAGTTGAAGTGGGTATGAATTTTTTTCCTGTCGGCCCTTCCAAGGAGGTGGTGGCATAGCAACAATGTCATTGGACAAGCAATCTGGAGGTCGAGGCTCATAATTTTATAAACACATGTTCAATTCACACCAGGCCTATGAAACTATGAATGACTGTTGTTAAAAACCCATCTGATTTGCACATATCTTTAAGGAAATCTACCATCTTTGATAGGTCTGACCTAGATGTGATTCCAGGCCACAGCAATGTGGTTGACTCTTAACTAGCCTCTGATATGGCCTAGCAAGCAACTCACTTCATGCGTAATTATGGATGGGCAACAAATGCTAGCCTTGCCAGTGCCACCCACATCCTATGAAAGAATAAAGGAAGCAATACCAGAAACAACGTGGGAAGGCGTCTTAAACTTAGGGTTGGATCATTCAGGAGTGAAGTTAAGAAACACTTCCTCACAGAGGATAGAAACTGGTTCTGGATATTCTACCCTCTAAATGTTATAGATGATGAGTGAATTGAAATTTTTAAGACTGAGCCCAATTAGGTCATGGAATATGAAATAGAGCAATGGCTCAATGAATTTGAGGTTCAGGGCAGTTATGTTCCACTTAAAGTGGCAGAGCCAGTTGAATATTTCTTTTGATATAATAAGGTGTAGAGCTGGATGAACACAGCAGGCCAAGCAGCATCAGAGGAGCAGGAAAGCTTTTTATCCATCTTCCATCCACCTCCCCCTCTCTCTCTATTTATTTCAGAATTCCCTTCCCCTCCCCCATTTCTGAAGAAGGGTCCAGACCCAAGGCGTCGGCTTTCCTGCTCCTCTCGTGCTGCTTGGCCTGCTGTGTTCATCCAGCTCTGCACCTTGTTATCTCAGATTCTTCAGCATCGGCAGTTCTCACTATCTCTGAATATTTATTTTGCTGTGTTCTTACCTAATGATTCTACTGAATATACTTTGAATAGACTTAAAGATTTCTATGCACACAAGCAGACAATGGTCATATTCTGGGCCATAAGTATGTCCTGCAAAAAAAGGAAATTAAATGATAGTAAATGTCTGGCTATGACATTTTGGTAGAGACTTTGAGTAAGTTTATACTCGCGACCTGTCCTTGCTCCGTGACTCCCCCTCTTGGATGACAGTCTGTTGCTCTGATATGTGGGCTCTTGTATTGCGCGGATGTTTTGCTCATACTGCCTACCCCTCCCCACCGACGCTGTAATTGCACCAGTAACCATCCCTATGTAAGCAATAACCCAAAATCTAATCAAGGCATATAAGGTTATGACAGGAACGTGGAGTTAACGTAAAACGTTGGTCATAATATTGTTGAATGGTAGAGCACATTCAAGGGACCAAATATACTACTACTGCCTCATTCCCTATGTACTTCCTATGTGTATCTGTTCTATTTATGTCTGGCAACCTGATTTACGTATTTAAGTCTAAAGCACCTATTGTTATTTTAGTGGCCAAATTCTTGGCACTGTACAAATAAGCACTTTATGTTAACCCATTCACATGCTAAAACTCAATACATTACTTGAACTGATCTTGCTCTGCAAAGATCACCTGGATGGTGGATGGAGTCAGAGTGGGGTAGGAAATTGGGAGGGCAGGTGTTGTGGTATGGAGTATGATTGAACATAAACATAATTCAGTTTCTATTTTAAATTTATACACTAAGTTCTTTTTGCTTTACAGAAATGGAAAGAGCACAGCCATTGTAGCAGTTTTGATATTTTTTGGATAGGCTATTGCCTTTGCTAAAATAACACTCAGGTATTTTTAGTTTATCCACTCATGATTTTTACTAATTCTGTATTAGCACAGAGTGGTGGATGCCAAAAAATCTTTGAAATGAAATCATTTAAGTTTACATGTGCGAATTAGATGGAATCTACATGCAGTAGCTCAGAGTGAATTCATGACTCTAAACCTTTCAGAACTACATCACTGATCATCTGTTATGCCAAAAATATGCTAAAGATGCTGATCACAAATTCATGTATCACAAATGGTGATGACACAACTGCATAACTTCAGTGCAAGATGTAGTGTAACCGTTTATCATAGTTATTCCAACATGCTGCTCACAGTAGTGTCTTCGATTTTATGATGATCTGATTTACATTTTGCAGGTAAGCACTTGAATGATGGGCAGTGGCATTGCATTCATTTCAATGCAAGAAGGAACCATGTCAGCATCACACTGGACAATGATGCTGCATCGACTGTTCATTCAACTGTACAGATTAATTCAGGAAACAGTTATTATTTTGGAGGTAAGATAGATCCCTTGCTCCGCAAATATCAATTCTGCTTATTGGTCATTTTATTTAATTTTTTTTTTCTGTCTTGTGAATCAATAACATCCAGCTGAGTTCATCTATTAAATTCACATCAGCAAACAATCTACTCTTTCCGTAGGCCATATACAGACTAGCATAACTCATTTATCTAATGATCTAAGGGAAACTTATCAAAAGACTTTTCTTAAACCCCAGGACTAATCCAATTCCTATCTTCCACCATTTAAATATTCAAGAAGCTAGTGGAGGTGATGGCTTAGTGGTATTATTGCTGGTCTGCTAATCTAGAGACCCCCACATAACATTTTGGCGACCTGGGTTTGAATCTTGCCAAGGCAGATAGTGAAATTTGAATTCAATAAATATCTGGAATTAAGAATCCAACGATGACCATGAATCCACTGATGATTGTCGGGAAAAACCCATCTGGTTCACTAATGTCCTTTAGGGAAGGAAACTGCCATCCTTACCTGGTCTGGCTACATGTGACTCCAGACCCACACCAGTGTGGTTGACTCATAACTGCCCTCTGGGCAATTAGGGATGGGCAATAAATGCTGTCTAGCCAGTGACACCCTCATCCTGTATTGAATTTTAAAAAAATTTCCTATTTCATACAGCAGGCTGTTATGATCTGAAAGGATGATTTAATCATATTTTCACAGCAACTTTTAAAATGCAGTCAAAGCAAACTAATTTGGAAAGTTTTGGACATAAAGCTGGAGTGTTCAACAAAATTGAATAAATCTTTCAAAGAACCAGCAGAAACATAATGGGCAGAGTGGCTTCCTTATACACAATAAGATTTTAAGAAGTGTAAAGACTATATATTTTTTAATTTTTCTGTGTTGTTGATTGTGGACTGAAATGGGAAAAGGACTATTTTAAAAACCAAGGATTGTAGAAGTGGTTGCTGCACTTTTAAGAAGTAGACTACCAGCACTTCTTGGAAGTGTTGCTAACACCGTGGCTTGTATGAGCAGTGGGGCAGATTAATGCAAACAGATTTGGGGTGTGTACAAAGGCAGGTCCGGCTAGCAACAAGTAGCTGATTGGTCTGTGAAATGGTAGATAGCTGTCGAAGACAAAGGCCTTCTGCCTGCCAAACACTATGTAATTTTTTCCCAGCTAGCTTGTGGATAGCCAGAAACATTCGAAACTCCAGAAGGGAGTGCATTTTGACTGCATTTGTCTGTTTTTCTGCGGGGAAAAAAAGCTAAAACCATTATAAGGCCAGTTTATTTTCTTGGTTTAATTTGATTGTTGTCACATGTACCTGGGTACAGTGAAAGGTTCTGTTGTGCGAGCAGTACAGGCAGATCATAACATACAAAGACATAAAGATCATAGGGTGTTCAGACAAAGCAAGGCAGGCAAGGTTACAGCCTCACAGGAGGTGCGCAAAAACAAGATCAACATTAGATTTGAAGTTAGAGAGGTCCATTCAGAAGTCTAATTACATCAGGGGAGAAGCTATTCTTGAACCTGTTGGTGTGTGTGTTCAAGCTTCTGCTTGATAGAAGAGGTTAGAAGAGAATATTACAGGGTTGGGAGGGGTCTTTGATAATGTTGCCAGCCTTTCCGCAGCAATGGGAGGTTTAGGTGGAGTCTTTGGATCGGAGGTTGGCTTCTGTGATGGTCTGGGTTGTGTACACAACTTTCTGTAGTTTCTTACAATCCTGAGCAGAGCAGTTGCGATACCAAGCCATTATGCATCCAGATAGAATGCTTTCTGTGGTGCATCTGTAAAAGTTGTTGAGGGTCCTTATGGGGATATGCCGAATTTTCTAAGCTTCCTGAGGAAGAAGAAACATTGTTGTGTTTTCTTGACCATCACATCTAAGTGGGAGGTCCAGGACAGATTGTTAGTTATCATCACTCCTAGAAACTTGATGCTCTTAATGCTGTCTGCCTCAGCTCCGTTGTTGCAGATAAGGACATGTTCTCCTCCTTTCTTTTTGAAGCCAGTGATCAATTCTTTAGTTTTGCTCACATTGAGGGATGGATTGTTATCATTACACCACGACACAAAATATTCTATCTCCTTCCTGTATTGGTGTCCAGGTGTCCTGTGGTTAGATTGGACCTCAAATTTAGTCCAGTACTGCCTCTTCACATCTCTAATGGTCTTGCAGAAATCATATCTAGATTTCCTGTAAAGGTCTGGCTCGTCCGACTTGAATGCTGCACACCTGGTCTTCAGTGGATTTCCCAGTTCATTCAAGGTTTCTAGTTGGGGAGCATACAGATTGACGTCTTCGGCATGTAGTCCTCTACGCATTTAGCGCTTGCATATTTGTCTAGGTTATCCGCTGAATTTTTGGATATTATCCAGTCCATCAATTCCAAGCAGTCTCAATGGAGCTTTTCTGCTGCTTCAGACAAGCACTGCACTACTTTTTGTACTGGGTCCTCTCATTTCAACCTCTGCTCTTGCAAGCTGGCAGGAGGAACACCTCTTTTACCAGTTATGGTAGGCTAAGGCTTTTAACCAACAGATCAGAGACTTTATACATTCTGAATCAGTCACTCGGTGCCTCCTGCAAGCAAATGAAACTTCCTGGAGAAGAACAGTTGAGGAGCAGCAAGTTCTGGAGAGTAAAAGGGTGATCTCAATGAATCCTGCGGACAGAGGCCATTGAACTGCCTTCCCAGTTTTTTTCCTCCACCAAAAAAAACACCTTTTGTATGTGTTTGTCTTCATATGTTTGTTTCGAAAGATTTATGACGGAGTTAGAATTTAAACAAATACACAGTTACATTGCAACATTTCATAGCTGCTCATCTGTAGCGAGAATCAATTTATTTGTAATAGTCATTCTTAAGTACGGAAAACTAGTCCATGCTTTCTGTTAACTTGAGTCTAAAAAGACAGATAAATTGGGGAATTTGGTGTACTCTGATTAAATCTTTAATTTCTGTCACAACTCAGAATTCCCATGCGTGATTTACAATGCATTACCCCAATAAGATGTGATAAAATCAATAATTCTCTCACTTCTTTATTCACATGTAGCCTATACTTTGATGTAATGACACTTCCTTTGTTCCATCACGTCACATTTCTAAAAATATTCTGTCAACGCTTATCTTTCCTTTCTTACTCTTTGCTGGATATTTGTATTTTGTCAAAACTCTAGCTGATCTAGAATGAACTGTTTCCACTGGGGATACTTCACATATCATTAATCTGTGTAGTGGGCTGGGGGAGAAGTATATAATCATCTCTAATTTTAAAAATCCAAATGTGGAAATGCTCAACAGTCTCTACAGAGAGAGCATCCATGCTATTTTGTTTCTGCTTTATTGTAATAATCTCTAGCTTCTGTTGAGATTTTTTAAATTGATTGTCTCATTTTTTCCATTCACTATTCGCAGCCAACTTGCTGAATGCAGAAGCTAGAGGGAAGCTATTAGTTTCATCATGCATGGTGGAAATAGCCTCCCCTTGGACCCTTTCCACTGCTTTTACTCCTTACATTTGTTAGTTTTTTCTTCCTTTTTATGTGGCTACTTCCCACTTGAAGGTTAATTTTCAATCTGCTTACACTAGTTGCATTCCAGATCATGCCACCCTACATATAAACATTTCTCTTTATTTCCTTTCTTTTGCGAATTACATTAAATTAATGTCCTCTAGTTTACAAACCTCCTGACAGTAGACATCTGCATTTTGTCTTCTCTAAAAGCTGTTTATATCTTTGAAGACATTTAGGAAACCTCACCCAGTCTGCTCTAGATATCTTTACATAACATATGACATGATCTATATGCATAACATAGGCATAATATAAATCCTTTAACAATTGAATGCATGATTGTTTGCCAATTTGTTTTTGCCTAAAGATCTCCAAAACATTAATTGTTAAATCTGAATATGGGGTGGGGCAACAAATGCTTAGCAAACCTGCCTGTATTCACCACTGCTCAGACAACAGATTGAAGATAATCAATTGATGTTATACCAGGATTTGTTTATATTTGCTGGAAGGAGCATACATTCATGCACTTGGACATATTCTCCAGAAGTTTGGGAACCTATACATTCCCACGGCAATATTCCGACAAGGGTAAATATTTCAGCTAACCAGTACCCTTTTCTCCTGGAGCAAAATTGTTGCTATTGTTTGAAAATTGATCCTAACGAGTGCATCATGATCATTTCAGCAACGTGTCTCTCTTTTCGGCAATATTCAAGTTGTGAACTACCAAGTAATGATGTTCATGATGCAACTGGCCACTCAGCAGTTGCCACTCAGCCAACTTTATAATGTACGATACTGATTGTTCTTTTACTTTTTCCATTAAATACCTTAGTGACCGACTTTAATAGAAGTTGTCAAAAAATCATAATGGACGATCATTATCTCTTAGTTATATTGGACTCATTACAATAAAGGAACCTACAGAGATAGTTTCTTGAGTGTTTTTTTTGCCAAATGCAAAAGTAAATAATTACTCATTCCATGGCCTTTGATGTATGACTACTGTCACACACTGAGCATGTCTTCACTTATGATATTCTTAGCTAATTTTTATGCATGTGTTCTGTTTCTAAGGCTGCCCTGAAACTGTCAGAAATGCTGGATGTTCAAATCCCTTTGGTGCTTTCCATGGCTGCATGCGACTCATCTTCATAGACAATCAGCCAGCAGATCTCATTCGGGTGCAGCAAGGCTTGCTAGGAAACTTCAGTGACCTTCAACTAGACTTGTGCGGCATTGTAGACAGGTAATTATACTTAATGATATGTGTGGAGTGGACAACTGTACATTATCCTGGTTAAAAACAATTGAGTAATGCAAAATAGTACTGCAGTGAAGTGCAGCATCAGCTCAAGACTTAAATCTAAGTCAAAGACTGGATGTGGAATTTAACCATTAATGGTCAATAACAAATTGCATAGAAGCCTAGGACAAGTTGCTTGGTTCACATGTTTGTCCTTTGGACATAGAAGTTAAAAGTTTTTTATGCATTTTGCCTGGGTATGTTCAGGAGTTGGCAGGGCTTGGGATCAAGGTGATGGAGTAGGGAGCATATAGTATCAAGTAACTTTGTTGAAAATGCTACTGTTCAGTTAAATGTATCCTGAGATTTGGTTATATTCACAAATTAAAAGGGTCAAAACTTTATATATATATATTGTATATATTAGTTTCCAGAAATATATCATAATTAGCGCAAAAATAACCTCATTTCGGTGTGACAATCCCATGAATGTGAACTGAGAAAAGTTACTGCCAAGTTCAAATGAAAAGTCATTGATCTGAAATGTTAACTGTTTCTCTTTACGGATTTTATCTGACCTGCAGTACAATACTTGGAAAAACATTAACAAAACACCAATGGTGATAGATTGATAAGCATGTTGCCTATAAGTCCAGCTAATTGCCAAAACTAGAAGGAACAAAACAAAATTTAAATTTGTCACAAGCCTTTTGCCTATTCACTTTGACTTAGGCATTTGTGGACAATTACCTTTGCTGGTACAACTCTGTTAAAAAGTAGACCTTTCGAAGAGCATGGCTATAAGCCCAAATATTGCAATGAGGATTCTGAATTCAGCAGATAAAGTCTGCATTGTATTTTCCCCTTCTTTTTTCATCTGATATTTGGAGATCTTCATGAATCGTTATGGAGAATCTGCGATTCTAGTAGGGAAATGCAGGAGAAAAGACTGCACCATGGACAGAAATTGTTAACATGCTGAAACACAACATTTGTTCATTCATTTGATTTGTGTCTTGATGCTTATGTGTTTGTCTCTTGCTTTCTCTCACATGTTTCAACCAGACTAGATTGTTTGTAGAGAGCTTTAGTTGTCTTCTTTCCACTATTGCGTGATGGTATACTAGGCAAAATCAAGGTGTCCTTAGCCAGTGTTGGTTCACAATTATTCAGCATGGCTGTGGCTCAGCTGGTAGCACTCTTGTCCCTGAGTCAGAACATTCAAGCCCCATTTCAGGACTTGAGAATGAAAATCAAAGCTTAAACTTCAGCACAATGTGATCAATTGCTGCACTGTTGAAGGTATCTTCTTTTGAATGAGATAAGTAACTGATAAGATGTTTTGTCTCACAGATAAACATAAAATATGCTGTGCCACAATTTCAAAGAGAAGTCGAATGTTATCCTTGGTAGCCAGGCCTGTATTTATCAGTAAACCAATACCATTGCATGGCATGGTGGCTCAGTGGTTACCACTGCTGCCTCACAGCACCAGGGACCTGGGTTCAGTTCCACTTTGGGTGACTGTCTGTATGGATATTGCATATTTTCCCTTGTCGTGTATGGGTTTCCTCCCATAGTCCAAAGATGTGCACGCTAGGTGGGTTAGCCATGGGAAATGTAGGGTCACAGGGAGAGGGTGGAATGCTTTTCTGAGGGTTAATGTGGGCTCAATGGGCCAAATGGCCTGTGTCTATTCTGTAGGGATTCTATTTTTAAAACAAATTATTGCTGCATTTTCTACATTGCAATGGTGGGTACATTTCAAAATATGTTGTCGATGGGAAAGCACTTTGCAACATTATGAAGAGGTACTTTCTTTCAATCAGAATGGAATTGCTACACGGATTGATTCGGATTTGTCAGTTACCTTTTTAAACCTTCTGAGTATCGAACCTTTATTCGGGATGTCTTGTACTGCTCCATTTCTACATAAGAAGAGGTAAAACCCAGAGAGATCACAATTTCTTTCCTGTCTTCTTCATCACCCTGTCTATTTGTGCTGACACGTTCAGTGATGTGTAGGCTTGTATACCAAGGTCCTTTTGTTTCTCTTTACTCCCTGGAGACCTGCCACTCATTGTGTATTTCCTTCCCTTATTAGGCCTCCCAAAATTCATAATGCTTGGGATTAATTTCCATCTGTCATTATCCTGCCTAATTTACCAGCTATTTAATCATTGACTGTAGCCTGAGTAAACATCCTCCTCAGTAACCAATAGCACCACCAACTTTTATCTCCTGCAAACTCACTAATTTTATCTTTTACATTGGCAACCAAATCATTACCGTATATAATAAATAGCAAAGGTACCAGCATTGATCCCTGTAGTACACCACTGGTCACAGGCTTCCAATCACAAAATCAACCCTCCACCATCATCCTTTGCCTCCTATTTGTAAGCAGTTTGCCAACTTGTCTTGGATTCCATGGGCTCTTACCTTTTGGGACAGCCTTCCATGTGAGACCTTGTCAGAGATCTTACTGAAGTCCATGTAGACCACATCAACTGCACTACCCTCAATATATCTAGTCACCTTTTCAAACAAAATCAACTAAATTAGTCAGACAGGGCATCTCTCTAACAAATCCATGTTAACTATCAATGATCAATCCCTGCCTTTCTAATTCTAATTTCTAATTTCTACTTCTGGTATTGATTAATCCTGCCCTTCAGAATTTTTCCAATAATTTGCCTACCACTGACATCAAACTAACTGGCCTTCAGACTGTCTGGCCTATTGCTGCTGCCTTTCTTGAACAAAGGAGCCACATTTGCTATCCTCCAGTCATCTGGCACTTCACTTGTTGCCAGAGAGGTACTAAGCATCTCCACCAGGACCCCAGAAATCTCCTCCCTTGCCTTTTGTAGTGGCCTGGGATTATTCTCATCAGGCCTTGGGATTTGTGCACTTGTATCCCTGTTAAAATATCTAATGCCTCCTCCTTACTGATCTTAACATGTTCTCAAACCTCACCATCCCAATTGACATCCCAGCTACAATGTCTTTTTCCTCTGCAAAAACAGATGAGAAGTGTTCAAAGGTATTCCATACCCCACCCCGAGCTTTGCCGTCCTAATTTCCTTTTTAATAAATCCCCTGCACTCTCTATACTTGGGAATTTTAAGTTTTTAATGCACTGTAACTTTCATATGCCTCCTTTGTTTTTTACAAACTCTTGAAAACCCCTGATATCCAGGGTTCCCTGGACTTGTTGCCCTTGCCCCTCACTCTGAAAGGAACACGCTGGCCCTGAATTCTCACTATACCACTTTTAAAAGATTCCCACTTTTCAAATGTAGACTTACCTATAAGTAACTGCTCCCAGTCTATGTTTGCCAGATCTTGTCTAATGATATTATAATTGGCCTTCATACCCAAGTTTAGACACTTAATTTCTGCACTGTCCTTAAGCCTTTCCAATAATGACTTGATCAAAATGCTCACCAACTGAAACTTCAACCATTTGAACTGGCTTCATTCTCTATGATTATGCCTAGCACTATCTATGTCCTGGCACAGAAAGCTCTCTGTTTCACTCAGTAGTCACATTTTAACAACAAAGTTACTTGCTACCATATGCCTTCCACCCCACCATCTTGTTCCTGAGCCTTGCTAGCTCCCGAACCCACCCAGTCGTATTACCTTGGCAAATTGTGAAACATCAAAATGTGCCAACCGTTTTATTTGTTTTAAGCGGAGGAAGACATCATTACATACTGTGTGGGATAATTTTATTACCACTTCAACCATTATTGGGGTCTTAGTTTAAAGATCTGGGAAAGGATGCTTTAAGTGTACTGATCTGACAGAACTGGGTGAGTAGGTAATTAAGATGTGTGGATCATTTGTCTGTTGATTCGCTTGACTGCTTACATGAGATTTTATTGTATTCTTCTAAGCAAGTAGCAAAATGCACAGCAGGCCTGAATAGTTCACATAAATCTAGAAAGAATGCACAGCACAGAAATAATAATTTGGGCCAACCAGTCTGTGTTGATGCTAGATCAGATGTAATTTTTTGAGATAATCTGACATTTTGTTAAGTGAAGGTATTAAGGGATAGGGGCCAAAGAAAGGTATGTAGAATTAGGTCATAGATCAGCCATGATCTCACTGACTGGCAGAAGAGGTTCAATGGGCTGAATGGTCTACTTCTGTTGCTATGTTCCTATGTTTCAAACACAGTCCCTGCTAAACCTTGTAGTCTAATCCTATTGATATATCCTTAAATTCCTTTGTCATTCAGGTATTTCTATAACTTTACATATGTGTGAACATGCAAATATATGAATTAGGAGCTGGTCTTGGCCAATCAGCCGCTCTAATCTGCTGTGTCACTTAGGAAGATCAGGATTAATCTGATTACTGCATATTTCCACCTTGTCCTGATTACCTTTCAATTCCTTGCATATCAAGAACTTATCTACCTCTGCCATACATACAAAAAAATTAAGGACTTTGCATCAACTGCCTTTTGAAAAAGAGAGTTCCAAAGCCTGAGGACTGCAGAGTGAAGTCTGTCAGGACTCAGGGACTTGTCAGACTTATCACCTTGCAGTTCCAACAATTTGCTCAAGATCACTTCCCTGGTGTTTGTAATTTTTCTGAATTCCACTGTCCTTTCCATTTCCTGATTTACAGCTACCTCTGAAATATTATTTGTGTCTTCTACTGTGCAGACCAATGCAAAATCCTTTATTAATTCGCCAGACTCACTTTCTGTCGGACCAGCTTCACTATATTAACTATTTTTCTTTCTATTATCTATAGAAACTCTTCTTTTTTTATATATATTTCTAGTTAGCTTTCTCTAGTAGTGTACTTTATTTCCCTTCTTATTAATATTGTCATCTTCTCACATGCCATGCATCTTTGTGCTGTTATATGCTTTTTCTTTACATTTGACATTATATTTAAGCTAGAATTGAAAGCCAGTCTCAGTAACTGTGACCATGAAACTATCATTAACTGGATTAAAATTCCATTGAATTCACTAG